GGCTTTGGACAAAGGACACTGGCTCAGACAGATGTCCCCATGCCAACGAGACGCGAACCTCAACCCTTCCCTCACACCACACCCCAAAATTAACTCCAAAAACCAGAAAGCTTCCAGCAGAAAACGTAAGAGAATATCCTTGTGACCTTCCGTCAGGGAAAGATTCTTAAATAGGACAGCAAAAGTGTGATCCGTCAGAGAGGTTAATTAGTAAACTAGATTTTATCAAAATTTAAAACGTTGGTCCTTCAGAAGCCATCATTAAGGAAATTAAAAAGATAAGGAACAAGCTGGGAGGAAATACTTGTAAAATATATATATACGATAAAGGACTTGTATCCGGGACATATAAGGAAACTTCCAAAGCTCAGTGATGAGATAAACAATTCAAGAAAAAAACGGCAAAAGGTTTCAGCAGACACTTCACCAAAAACTTATGAATTACCAACAAGCACATGAGAAGATGCTCAACATTGTGAGATCGAACCTCACCGAGACACCACTTGGCACCCACTGGGACGACTATACTCAAGGAGACAAAATCTTGGGGTGCCTGGATGGCTCAGTCACTTAGGTGTCTGACTCTTGATCTCAGCTCAGGTCACTATCTCAGGGTCATGAGATTGAGCCCTGCGTCGGGCTTCGTGCTGGGCGTGGAGCCTGCCTAAGAGTCTCTCTCTTTCTCTGCCCCTCCCCTTCTAAAAAAAAATAATAAAACACGTTCATTTTGTTTCTTAGGTCTGATATTTCTAATATTTGTTTTTGTTTGGGGGTTTTTTTTTTTTACTGGTCTGATTCTACAGTCTATTGTTTCTGCAGCCTTTGCTTATGGTTCCTTGTTCCCTTGTGTATTTAGTGAATTTTTACTCTGAACGGTTCGTTTAAAGCTGTGGAACTTTCTGGAACTTTTCTGAGGCCTGAGATGGAGGCGATGCCTTTGCTTCTGCTACACAACTAGGGCACTCCCAGTCTGAGATCCCTTTAGACTGGAATCCCTTGTTGGAGGTTTGGGGGTAATTGAGGGACTGTGAATTCAGGCCGCACGGACACATGAGGGCCAGCTTAGGGTTATGAATTCTAGAGAATTCTCCCGCCTCTCCTCTTGAGCCAGGCACTGTTGATTCAACATCTTGAGGCCAGGTGGATTTTCTAGTTTACCTTGACAGTGAAGTGGGGCGCTTGGGAATCCTGTGCCCCTGGAGGTGGTCTTCTGTGGCACCCCCAACACACCCAGACCCAGCGCTTTGTCCTCTGTCCCTAGTCCCAAAGAGAGCCAAAAAGTGATGCTCCATTACCTATGAGAACAGAAAAGTTTCAGCTCCCCATATTCAAAAAGACAAGACAGACTCTTCCTTGGCCATCACGACCAGTAAACACCAGGACCAGCGTCGAATCTATCCCAACCTATCAGTGGCGACCTGCTTCGGGCAGCCAACCAGCAGCCCCGTTCCAGTGACTCCCCTTCCTCAGCTCAAGAGCATCCAGCCCCTAAACTGCCCCGCGGGGAGGGTCTGAGGCCACACTTGATAAAACTCTGTGCCTCACAACTATGGTTCTCCCTGGCTTTTTTTTTTTAAAAGATTTATTTATTTTGGAGAGAGAGAGAGCACAGCGGGGAGGGGCAGAGGGAGAGAGAGACTCTCAAACACACACCCCACTGAGCGTGGAGCCCAATGTGGGGCTCGATCTTACGACCCTGAGATCACGACCTGAGCTGAAATCAAGAGTCGGACGCTTAACCGACTGAGCCGCCCAGGTGTCCAACATATAATCCCTGGCTTAACAAATAATAAATTCGATCTTTTTGTTCCAGATGTGACATGGTGGCCTCATCCCCCTACATCTCAAAGCAAAACCAGCATGAGTGTGCCACGTTCTCCCTGGGTCTCCTCCTTCCCCCATCCTGGCCTGAGGACTCTGCAACCTCCTAGCCAATGGAAGACAGTGCTCAAGATGGACATCTTTTCTTCTATCCTGAATTTGTAGCTGCTTTTCCTATTGATAGGAACAGAAATCTCTCTACCTTCATTGTACAGATGAGGAAACCGAGGCACAAGGACATTAACTCGCTCAACGGCCAGTAAGTCACAGACTCAAACCTCAGAACCCGGACTATCTGACTCCAGGGTCTATGCACTCAAACTCTGCCATTCTCAACAAATGAGTTAGTGATTGGTGAATTCGTTCATTCATCCAATATTTATCGAGCATCTCCTATATGCCAGGCACTGGAGATACGGCAGTGAACGAGACAGGTGACAGCACTGTCCACGGAAGCTCATGCTCCATGGGAGTGGAGTGATGGCGGATGTCTGCAGGACCCTCCTCTGCAAGGGCCAGTGGCAGCCATCAGGGGCTCTGCATCTCCAGAGGGACGTGTGCCCATACTGGCCATTTGGGCTGGACCTCAAGGCTGGGACCCCTCCTCTGAGTGCCCATGCCTTTGGGGGGCAGCTGCAGGAGTGAGGAGGGAGCCCACTAAGCCCCTGAGAGCCCCGAGGCACAGAGAAGCTTTGTGGCTTGCCCGAGGCCCATGGCCCAGCCCGTGGTTTGATGGCATGTCCACGGTTTGCCCTCCTCCCGTTGAAGGCTCCAACAAGGACCCGGGTAAGGCCTTCCGGGCAGAACAGCTGCGGATTCAGGGAGGTCAGAGATCACAGCAGCAGGGTGGGTCTTCTCTGCAGGGGATGCTGGTGGCCATGACAAGGGAGGTATGAGCTCTTCCATTGGAAGACAGAGCCTCCGGTAACTTCACAAGCCCAAGCAAAGAGCATCCCCTGGCCTGGACTGTGGACAAAACTTCTTAGCCACACGATGTACCTGGGAGGCCTCAGGAAGTCAACAGTTTTCCCAGACTCTGCAAGCCAAGCGGGTCTTGGCCTCTGTCCTGTTACCCCAGGGTCCTAGGTCCCCAAAAGGGCCCCGACACCTGTGTCCCTTGGTCAGCAGAGCTGGGAGGGGTGGGGGTGGGCTTTCTGGACGATGTCATTCGGGAAACAGCTGGGCACAGCTGTGTCCTGAGGACACTGCCCCAGCCTCTCCTGGAACACAGGGTCAGACGCCATTCCCGGCACGGGCCTTGTGCCAGGAGGCCAGGCCAGGCCAGGGGACAGCGTGTCCCAGCCTGACCAAGCAGTCCCCCGCCCGCCTCCAGCCCTGCGGGGTGGGGGGAGGATATCTCTAGCCCCAAACCAGAGGAATGTGTGAGCTTCTTCTCTGGAGGCCTTCCCAAGCGGGGTGACTTCTGTGGGGTGGGGCCATGTGTTGGTGTCCCAGAGTATCTGAGAAGAAGGCCCAAGAGGCATTGGTAGCTTCCGGAAGCCTGCACTTTGGTTCTCACCAAACTACTCAGGAGCCACCACGGAGCCCGAGACCTCGGTGGAGCCTGGTCCCAGCCCCCTGCACGCCGGCCACTGTGGACTGAGACCTCTCTTGGTTCAGACTGTGGCTCTCCTAGCCCCTGCCCAGCGAGATTCTGGGGCCAAGTCACCGTCCTCCCTCAGCTGCAAAACTTCACATGCCATCATGCTGCCGCCCTGTCCAGCCTACGCACCTCCCAGCGGGCCGGCCTCACCTGCCCTCTGGCTGCCCCTCCCGTTAAGCTGCCACCCCCTCCCCCAGCACATACTCTATGCCCAAGTATGCATGTGTGTGTGTGCGTGTGTGTATGAGGGCGTGCACGCACATGGGCTGTTTCCCGCACCCACAACGCCCTCGGGCACACCTCTGCTCCCTGCCTGTTAAAATCAAACTCATCCTCCAAGCCCCGACCCTTCCATGGCCCCCCAAACTGCCCCTCCCAGGAACCCCTTCCTCCATTCATCACTCATGCCGAGAGGTATCACATGCATCCACGTGTGCATATCCCCGACGGATGGAGCCCCCTCCACACTGCCTCGGTTCCCCTCCGGTCCCCAGCCCTGCGGCCGGCGACCATCCCGTCAGGGTGTAATGGATGCAGAGCTTTACAGGGTTGTAGGGATTTTCAGTTACGTTTTACCACTGGTGACGATTCTAGTTTGCTCAAAACAACCATTTAAATTCTTCACATTCGTGTGTGTCGTAGAAAAATTCAAACATGCGGATGAATAAAAAGACCCTTTAAATCACCCGAAATCCGAGACACTTTCCCCTACAGACACCTATAAGGGGTTCCCAGTTCGCACTCCGTGTAGGAACTCGTGTGATCCTCTGGCAGAGGGAGGCAGGAGCCACGCCCACGGTCAGGGCCAGCTGGAAGGTGACAGGGCAGGACCTAGGCCCACAGAGCCCATGGTCTCACCCACTGCGCTCTCCGACTGCACTCCAACCTCCATCTCCCGGCCGGACTGGTCACGCCCCCAACCTCCTTGTCCCACCTCACCAGCCAGCTCCTTCAAACGCCTTCTTAGGCCGGGGACCCCATGTTCTCTCCTAAGCCCGTCACATCCCAGACCGGCAGGTCAGCCCCAGCCGAGACCAGGTGGACAGGAGCTCCATTCGGCAGGACTGCACACCCAGTCTGTGGCCGGGCCCCTGACCTGCCGGCTGGCCGAGTCAGGGATCCCAACTCCTGCCCAACCGAAGGCCGAGTCGGCTGCAGCTCAGCTTCCCAGAGCCCGGGGGCCTGTTCCAGGTCCTCGAGCCTGCAGTTCAGACTGGCCAACCTGGGGTGGGGGGGCAGGGGGAGTGTCAGGAGGCCCCAAAGAGTGAGGGCGCTGCCCTTGACCTCACACAGAATCTGCAGGCAGTTCTAAGTAGGTGAAACCCCCTCTGCCCTCCCTGAGGGTGGAGTGAATAAGTTGAAGGGCAAGGCACCAAGGGAGAATCCGAGAAAGCACTGGGTGGTCCCAGGGATGCCCAGCTGTCAGACAGCCCCCCTCACTGCTACAAGGCTGTGTGGTCGGGGGCGTGCCGTCTGCACCACCAAGGGGCTCCTCAACCATCATCTGGGAGCTGCCCAGAGAGAGGTGTAGGGCTGGCTGCACCCCGATCTGGGGGTGCTTTGTGTGAGCCCCATGTTTCAAGTGCAAGTGGGAGAATTTTCAAAGCCAAAACACCTCTGAGCTGAAGACCCCTTGCCTGGCCTTTCAAGGGCCAGACCCCATGATTGGAGCTCTTGACTCAGATGCATCATGTCTGAACTTTGAAATGAAGGTGGGAAAACAGCAAGGCTGCAGTGGACGGTCTGGGGAAGGGGCCAGTTTCTCAGAAACAGCAGAGGGGCCTGACGGGCACTTGACTTTTATTCTTAGTAATGAGTCGGTGAGAGTCAAGACGGCCAGGCAGGAGAGGGCATTCCTGTCCGGGGACAAAGCCCTACACTCCCTGGACATGGACAGCAGCTGGAGGGGCCTCCAGGAGCTTGCAGCTGACCCACAGGCGCAGCGTGGAGCCCGGTAGCCGCAGGGGGCTCGTTGGGGTCCCCAGCTGTGGGGTTGCACGCACATGCACACCAGCCCCCGTACTTTGGAGCTTCTCACTTGTAAATGCCATCCAACACAAAATCTGTTGTCCAGCAGAAGTCCCAGCAAAGGGAGATTTGTGAGCTCAGGGTGCTCTGCACCTGGAAAGCCAGGAAGTTTCCGCAAACAGAGGCATTTGCTCTTGGTCCCGAAGAGCATCCTGTCCACAGGCAGGGTGGGGGCTGCAGGGCGATCTTGGAGAAACTTCCCCACACCAGCCCCATAACTGCAGCTCATTGGAGCCTTCCAGGCCTGGCCCATCGAATGTACAAGGGCCATCCTCCTCCCAAGCCAGGCACCAGACCTCCATCTGGAACAGCAGGGGCACACTCGGGCCGGAAGGCACCGTGCTGCCATATTCATGTGGCAAGCACATTTCTTCTGCCTAATTCCATGTTCCTATGGGTCACCGCTCCCACGGGACTCAGGACTCCAGGAGACAGTGGCCGGGATCCTGGTGAGCTGAAATGGAGAAAAGTCAGGCAGCCACAGTGTGGGGGCCATCCACCTGGTGGCCACAGGGAGGCCCCGGCCAGGGCGGCAGGATCCCTGAGCCCTGCAGCCCACTCTCAGCCCCAGCCCCAGCCAGTCTGCACCTGGGGAAAGGACGATGTGATTGCTCTGGACAGAGGGGGGCCCTGACCCCCACCACCAGCAGTCCCTTCCCCACCACCATGCCCCAGAAGGTCCGGATCCTCCATTGTGTCCACGCCCACCAGCCAGTCCCTTTAAGGGCAGCAGGGACCTGGTATCCATCCTCCAGGCCCACAAACACAAACCCCACTCCTTATTGGCAAGAGGGAACCAGGCTTCTCAAAAGAGCCACCTGCTTGGGCAGCTAATCCGTCAGCTCCCACAGAGGGCAACCCGTGAGACCCCAGGCCTCAGTTGGCCTCCCGGGTCATGGAGATGCTGTGGGCCGAGCCCCTCAGACAGACATTCTGCCTACCTCCAAGATGAAGCCTCAAAGGTCGGGGGCGGGTGAGGGCAGGCACCCCATCTGCATCTTCCCCTGCAATTGCAGCCGTAGTTCCAAACCCCTGTGGCTGTCCAGGGCGACAGGACCAGCTGGAAGCCAGCCCCAGGCTGTGTAGACACCAGGACAAAAGACACACCACGGGCAGGCACACGGCATCTATGGGTGTCAGCCCACAGGCAGGCCAGGCCTGAGCGTCCAAGGCTGGACCCCCCACCCTCAAAGCCTGACCTCTCTCCCTCGATGCCCCACTCAGCCTCATGCTCCAGCCACACCCGCTGGTGACAGCCTCGTCCACACCCAGCACCAAGCCGCTTCCCGCCCTGGGGCCTTCGGAAGGACAACCGCACCGCCTGGCTGGCCCCATGGGTTCCTATGCACTGAGCTTGGGTTCACTCCGTGACCGGGAGGCATGCTCGGTCCCCACTGCAGGCTGGGACCGCAGCCCTCCCCTCAGCCGCATGCCTGTCCTGCCCCCGCCTGCCGAGCCCTTTGGCTGCATTGGGCTCCCACTGGACCAGGAGCTCCCTCGGGGCGGCGGGGCAGGTCCGGATCCCACTGCCCGGCAGGAACTAGTTACCGTGTGCACCGGAGAAGCATTTGCGGCGTGAGTGGGCGCAGGGACACGCCCACGGGGACCAAGCCAGCCTGTCAAACAAGCGATGGGGTCACAAGTGTTTTCTCTCCTGCGAAGCAGGGAAAGACGCCCCCACTGCCTGACAAGCTCACACACCCTGGTGTTCCAGAAGCACCAACAAGCGACTGCTCTAAATAAACAGCCTCGCTCGCCCCAGCCCTCCCCCAGCTCACCAGGCACCCCAAAGGTCTACCCCGGGGCGGGGGGTTGTGCTGGCCACAGCACGCTCCCAAGCCCCCGCTCCCCACCCCCGCCGTGCCCTCGGGTCTCCCAATGGAACATTTTTTACATATTCTAGACCATCAGCAAAACAAGAGTCAAAATTCAATCCTTGCTTTTGGCAGGGAGTCCACGGAGCAGCCCGGGGGCCAAAGATAAATGGAGGGACACAGGGGGCGGCCGGGACCCAGCCAGACCCAGCCAGACCAGTCGCTTACACTGCAAGCCAGGGAGAGTCCGGCCGCCCGAAAAAATGTACCGTCACACTCGAGCAAGAAGAGCAGCTGTTGTGTGATCAGCAGCCACAACTGGACGGCTGGGTCCCCGAAGACGGCGCTGGCTGAGGCCCGCAGGGTGGCGCCCCCGCAGGGGAGGGGGCCTGAACCCCAGGGCGTCTGGGCCGGGGTGGGGGACCTGGGTCTGACCCTTCCTGGCGCCAGACGGGGAAGGAAGTCACTTCACCTGCGCGGATCAGCCCGTGTCCACACCAGCCTGCTCTCTGGCAGGCCTCGCTCAGAGGCTGGTCGGCCAGTGGGGACGCCAGCAGGCAGGCAGGGTAGCGGGCGCCCGTCCGGGACACTGGGCATTGGCTCGGAACTCCGCTGCATTCGCCCGCACACACCTCCCCGAGCTCCCCCTGTACAGAAGAGGAGATGGAAGCGAGCGGAAGGGAGCGGGTTATCTGGTTACCCCAGGTTATCTGGCTACCATGCCAGGACCCCAGGAGCAGAAGAGGCAGGGGTCCCAGCAGTGCCCTGAGGAGGGGCTGACAGCCAGGGGAGGAGACAGCCCCACCTCGGCCTTTCCCTGTTCCCTATCCTGCCCCAAGCAGGGTGCGCCTGATGGTGTGGGTTGGCTGAAACCCCCAGAAGGTGCCCAAGAATGTCCCCGAGGGGACGTCCAGCCAGGCCTTTGCTGCGGCCCTGCTGGGGCCCAGCCCTCGGGACTGGCTGCCCCAAGTTACAAAGAAGGATGCTATGTGCCCTGCTCACCTGTGGCTGTGTTCTCCTGCCGTCGGCGTCCTCCTCTGTCCTGTCTCTTGGGCCGGGGACGGAGGCTTCCACCTGTCACAGGACCCACAGCCCTGGATGGTTATTCTGTTCCCACCTCGCGGAAGGCAGGAGGCAGGAGGAGGGCAGTGGGTGGCACAGGGCCCGCAGTCCCAGGCTGTGTTTGCTCTCCTACCACCGCCCTGTCCCCTGTGACCTGGAGCCATCCCCCTCCCAACAGGGGGCCAGGCCGGGCTGGTTTGGGTAGGACCCTCCCTGGACGCCCCTGTCTACACCTCCGGGTCAGCACTGACTCACGTGGCCACCTAGCTGCAAGGACGGTTAAGCACCCCGCCACCGCAAACAAAACCAGGGCCCTTCTAGGAAGCAGAAAAGCAGAAGGGACAGCGCTGCCCCCAGCGTCCCGCGGGCTGACGAGGGAAGGAGGCTCTGGCTGCATGACCCTCCCAAGGACACACAACCGGAGAGCAGCCTGTCTCTTCAACAACAGCCAAGGAGAAACTCATCTGGCCCCTCTATGGGCCACTCAGCCTGGCCTTGCAGACCCCCACCAGCCCGCGGCCAGGCCGGGAGGAAGGATGTCCGTTTCACCCCACGCACACACGCCTGTATACATATATACACACACATGTACACACGTACACACACCCATGTTACACGAACATTCACACATGCACACTCACATTCACGCACATGCAAGCGGCCTGCCCCTGGCAACTCGGCCAGCCAGCTCGGGAGCGCACCCCCCACCCCAGGCTTGCCCAGCCCAGTCCCCAGGCCCATCCCGGCACCCTTCGCAATGTCCGACCCACCCAAAGCCCGTACTTTCCTGACCTGGGGCATCTGGCTGTCCCCGCAGGAAAAACCCCCAGGGGGAGGGGCGATGTTTATAACACGGGTCATTGTGTTACACAGAACCACAGTTTCCCTGCAGGTCACCAGTCACAAATGCAAACAAGCAGAGCCTGCCTGCTTCGGTCACTCCTTCGCCCTGGGCCCCTGAGCAAGGCCCAGAGGGGCTTCCCCACCCAGCCCTGCTCCCCAGAGGGCGCTTCCCAGCTCACTAAGCCTTCCAGGGAACCAAGGAACTGGAAGCCACCTCTGGGGGGAGTGGGGACCGCCTGACATCTGTGGCCATGATCTCACACTTGGAGGGAAGGAGCCAAGGATTTCCCTCTGGTTCTGCAGCCTCTGAGAGGGAGTGAGGAGGGAGATGGGGAGGAGGGGTGGGGGACAGAGGGAGTCTGCAGCTCCCCGGCACCCCAGCCTGGATACGCAGGTGAGCACTCTGACTTCAGGAAGCTGGAGGAGCAGGAGAAAGAAACCCCCTTCCTTCCTTCCTTCCTTCCTTCCTTCCTTCCTTCCTTCCTTCCTTCCTTCCTTCCTTCCTCCCTCCCTCCCTCGCTCCCTCCCTCCCTCCTGCCCTTCCTCCCTTCCTCTCTCCCCTCCCTCTCGTATGGTACATGGCTGGGGCCCACCCCAGAGGCCTGTACTTCCCGAAGGAGGGACAGCCAGCCAGCAGGAGGAGAAGAGCACAAAGCCACCCTGAGCTCTCTGGGGGCCCAATTCATCTCCCCGTGTCTGGCACATGGTGTCTTTGTAAGCATTTGTTCTATGAGAATCGCCAGTCCCAACCTGAATGTCCCCCGCCCCTCCCATCCTCAGAAATGCATGTCTTCCTTTGTCAGGCTCCAAGACAGGGCCCCCGTGGGGCAGGAGGACACCCGCGACACTGGGCTTGACCGTCACCACCCCCAACACCCCACCTGCCCCCTCCACCCCTTTCCTGATTTTTTTTTTTTTGGTAAAATTATAGATGCAGAAATGAAGGGAACAAAGATAAACAGCACATGGTAAAGGAAGTTCTAAGTAACAAGACTTGTGCTTATCCACAATCTCAAATGTTTCCACTTAAAAAAATAAAACCCCTTCCCCTCTGCCAGGAGGAGCCCAAGGGGATCCAACGACAGATGATGCCATTCTTACTTCAGCCACCAGGTGGCGGCCAAGACCAGTGCATCCCTGCTCATGCGGCCTCCGCCTCCGGGGAATGGGGCTTCCTCCGAGGGTCCCTGGCAAAACGGAGAGTGTCGGCTGCAGAGGTGACCACAGAGTGCCTACCCACTGGTCAGCCTCAGAACAATGCACAGAAATAGGTACGGCCATCCTCACTTGATGCCTGAGGAAGCTGAGGCCCAGAATGGAGAAGGACATCATCCACTGTCCCAGCCCGTCATGGACAGAGCCCGGGCTGGAACTCTCATTTCCTGACTCCCTTTGCTTCATCCCACAGATGCCCAGGGGTCACCTGGCTTTCTTTGCAGCACCGAGGATGGTCATGCAAAGATGGGGAGCCCCACCCTGCAGGAAACCGGCATGAGGTGGACTTGAGTCCCGCCTGCCTGGGCACTTTCGGCTGCCCCAGGCTCTCAGCCCACCCTCTACAGCCACCTGGAGGCATTATGCCCCAGCTGCGGCACTGGACAGCAGAGGCCAGGGCTCATCTGGGTTCCTGCCTCCAGCGGGGCGTGGGGGTGGGGGGGCTTGGGGACTTCCTGGGCTGCCATAGACAAAGGTCACAGGGTTTGGCCCAGGGTGTGGCTGGGAGGCCCAGCCGCCTCCCCACACTCTTACCCTCGAACCCTCCAACCCCCTACCCCCACCCCTGTCCCTGGCTCTGCTCCCATTAGGCCACTCCTGATTCGTGCCAGGCCCAGCCAAGGGATACCCCATCCTCTGCCTGGGAAGCCACGTTAGCAGGAGCCTCGGAGGGGCCTGTCCCACACCAGCCAGGCCAAGAGCAGGAGGAACAGCAGGACCAGGGCTGCAGCCAGGGTCACAGAGGGCACCATGTCCGAGTCCTCGGGGCCAGGGATGGCATGGCCAAGGGCAAGGTGGAGGGCAGCAGGGGCGCCAGACAGCTGGGTGTCAGAAACCTTCTCCCCTGGGGGCTCTGGCCGGCCCATCTGTGGGAAGGAGGAGACGAGGGCAGCGGTCCCCTCTCCGTCGGTCCCTCCCATCCCTCTCCCCTCAGGGGCCCTCCAGACATAGCAGGAGCCAGGGCCAGGAGGTGCCCCAGAGGTGACCCTGGCCAGTGACTCCCCGAGGCTCCGTTTTCTCCTAACACTGGGATGCAGAAGGCCACCAGGGAGGATAAGGACCAGATGAGACAGTACGGCCTGGGTCTTGGCATCTCCTCCCACCCCCTTACCTTCCCTCTTGAGATGACTGGGGCTAGAAAGTCAGATTCAGTGCCACAGCCCCCCTCTGAGACCTTTGTCCTTGTGCCAGCAGGTCTGGAATGCAGCTCAGCCAGGTTCTTGGGCCCTTGGAAGCCTGCAGACTGGTCTGGAGGGACCTTTGTCAGACTGCAGGAGCTCCATCAAGGCCTGCCCAACTGCCTGTGCCCACCAGCAGCCCGAGAGGGGGGCACCAGGTTACAGCCATCCTACAGCTCAGAGAAGCCAGCGTTCTCGAGAAGTTCCAGAGGTTGGCAGAGGTGGTCACAGCAGCCTGAGACCGGGTCCCCAAGGCTCCTCCTCTGTAAGGGGCAGACTGTGCACAGGCCCTCTGCTAAGCTCCAGAGCAGCCAGGGATGGAGACCGTGCAGGAGCCTGCAAGTCGGTGGTGGTCTCTGCCCAGCCCCTCCCCAACCCTGGCAGCTCTGCGGGAATTTATCTTCTGACCAGGGTGGTAGCTCCCACGCCCCAGAGCTGCCACCTTCCCCAGTGCCCAGACCAGTGGCAGCTTGAGTGGTTCAACTAGGGGCCCTTCCTCTAAAGAATCCACCCTCCTCGGGGCCTCCCTCAGGGAGGGATTGGAGCTGGGGCAGGCGGGGAAATGAGGGACCCAGCCCCTGCTGTGGGTGTGTCCTGGCCCGAGAGGGGAAGCAGATCCAGGTCCCCTGACTCCCAGACCAGTGCTTTCTGCTGCTTCTGAGCAGAGACTTCCCTGATAGGGGCTGGGAGAAGCTAAGGGAGAGGGGAGGGCTCTGAATTCAAATCGACTAGGGGCCTCCCAGCACCGCTTTGTGCATATGCTGGGCCAGGCACCGGATGGGCAGGGAAGAGGAGGAGAGCCCCACTCCGCTCCAGAGACCAGGTCCCCAAGCAGCCCATATGGGGCAGACCCAGGTGGCAGGAGAGAAGGCCCAAGCCACCCAATGGGAGTGCAGGGGGTGGTGGTTGAAAGAGGCCTGAGGACTGGAGAAACATCCTTGCTGAAAGAAATCATCCTCTGAGGACAAAAATGGTCACTGAATCACTAATTTTAAAAGCACACATGTGGGGGCGCCTGGGTGGCTCAGTTGGTTAAGTGTCTGCCTTCGGCTCAGGTCATGATCCAGGCGTCCTGGGATCGAGCCCCGCATCGGGCTCCCAGCTCCACGGGAAGCCTGCTTCTCCCTCTCCCACTCCCCCTGCTTGTGTTCCCTCTCTCGCTGTCTCTTTCTGTCAAAAAATAAATTAAAAAAACAAGCACACATGTGTGAGATAGCCTTAATGTCCATGAAGGAGATTCCTGAGCAAGCCACGTTACATCTCAATTGATAAAACATGGTTACATGGATTGCTCCAAGTTAGCAACAGGAGTCACCGTTTTTTGGCTCTGCCTGGATCCAAAGCCTACGTCCTTTACAGCAGGAAAATGCTGAAAATGTGCTGTAAGTGGTCACACAATTGTGCACCCACACACAATGCGAAAATATGCAGAACGGACCCACATGGGGAAGGACACCAGAGTGCCAGCAGGGTGACGGATGTGGTTTTCCCGAGCATGCTTTCTCCATTGTTCTACTAGTTGTATTTTGATAGCAAAAGGGAATTACAGGATACTTTTTTTTTAATATTTTATTTATTTGACAGAGAGAGAGACAGCGAGAGGGAACACACGCAGGGGGAGTGGGAGAGGAAGAAGCAGGCTTCCCACTGAGCAGAGAGCCTGATGTGGGGCTCGATGTGGGGCTCGATCCCAGGACCCTGGGATCATGACCTGAGCTGAAGGCAGACGCTTAACGACTGAGCCACCCAGGCGCCCCTACAGGATACTTTTTAAAAACAATTTACTGGTGGGGAAGCAGGTGCCTGGGTGGCTCAGTCGTTAAGCGTCTGCCTTCGGCTCAGGTCATAGTCTCAGGGTCCTGGGATGGAGCCCCGCATCGGGCTCCCTGCTCCGCAGGAAGCCTGCTTCTCCCTCTCCCACTCCCCCTGCTTGTATTCCCTCTCTCACTGTGTCTCTCTCTGTCAAATAAATAAATAAAATCTTAAACAAAACAAACAAACAAAAAAAAAACAATTTACTAGGGGCGCCTGGGTGGTTCAGTCAGGTTAGGCAGCCCACTCTTGATTTTGGCTCAGGTCTGATCTCAGGGTTGTGGGACAGAGTCCTGTACTCAGCGGGGCATCTACTTGAGAGTCTCCCTCTGCCTCTGCCCCTCCCCTTGCTCTCGCATGTGTTCCCTCTCAAATAAATTAATAAAAATCTTTTAATTAAAAATTTAAAAAAAGATTTACTGTTTAATAGCTAAAATTTGGAAATAACCCGAATGCTCAACAACAAAGGATCAGTTAAAAAAAACCACACGTGGCACATCCATGCAGCAGAATAGGGTGTGAGCCAGCCCCTCTCTGGAAAAGTCCGCAGGGAGAGCGGGTACTAGTGGACTGTGTTACTGTTTGAGGGTGAGCCGCCAGGGAATACTCTATTTCTGTTTTTCTTGTTTTTTAATTTATCTTATCACCTGGATGATTCTCAACAAGCCCAAGTTATTTCTGCCATCAAACTGGGCCAGAAATGGGGAAAATACAAATCTGTGCCACTGGGACCACCGCCCTCTCCTCCCTGGGCTTCCACCCCACACCCGCTCTGGCTGTCCGGGATGCGGGATGCTGTTGTGGGCACTCCTCAGCCAGATTTCAGCTCACCCCTGGAGGGGAGGGGGCAGGGCCAGGCGTGACTCAAGCACACGATGCAGCAGGGAGGGAGTCCAGGAAGGCAGAGCGCAAGGCCTTCCTTTGGAGGGAGACACCTGCACTCCGTGTGACCTTGGGGAGTCGCTAAGCCTCTCTGGGCATGTTTTCCTCCAGCCTATAGGAGCTGGGTGTGGGGTGGGTGCTGGTATCCCACCCAGACGTGGACACGGACGAATCCGCAGGGGCTCTGCGTCCATCGCGCCTCTTCCCTCGGGTGCGGGTGCAGGGGTTCCCATCTGAAGGGCCAGCCCAGGGGCCTCCCGGGGCGCACGAGGTGCGGGTCACGCCCATTTAAAACCTGGCCCCGCCCCGGTGTCCGCGCCTCAGGAAAGCCCCGCGGAGCCCCGCACCCTGCCCCGCCCCGCCGCCCGCGCCCCGGGAAAGTCCGCCCGCGCTCCGCTCCCGGGTCCGCGCCCTGGGAAAGCCCGGCCGGGCCCCGCACGCCGCCCGCGCCCCGCCCCGGCGCCGCGCCCGCATCCGAGCATCCGCATCCGAGCATCCGCACCGCTCGCGGCGGCCCCATTGGCCGGCCCCGGCTCCGCAGGGCCGCCTCGCAGCCAATCGCGGCCGAGGGGTGGAGCTGCAGCCTGCGCCGGATGCTCGGAGCCGCTGCTGCCCGGAGCGTCTACTGGCCGGAGCTGCCCGCCCGCACCCGGCCCCTCGGCGGCCGCACGGACACTGCGAGCGAGGGCGGCCATGCAGGAGCCGCTGCTGGGAGCCGAGGGCCCGGACTACGACACCTTCCCTGAGAAGTCCCCGTCGCCGGGGGAGAGGACGCGGGTCGGGTGAGAGTCGCGGGGCATGGGGGCTGCGGGTAGGGGCCGGCTTCCGCCTTGGGCCTTCTCTGACCTTCCGTGAGTGTCCAGCAAAGGTCCGTCTGGCCCCCTTCTGCCCCAGACACCCCAGTCCTATTTAAGGAGCTGTTCTCCCCCCGTAGCAGGCCCAGCCCCCAGCTGGCGCAGCCAGGGTGAGGGAAGCCCAGAGAGGGCAAGGGGCTTGCTTGCCTAAGGTCACACAGCAAGCTTCAGAGGCAAAGCTGCCAGCGGAAGGCAAGCCTCCTCTGCTAGAGAGAAGTGCCCCTTCCCCCATGTCTCAGCCACGGGGGTGGGCTTTGGGGACTGTCCTGGGGATTCTCCAAGCGAGAGGACACAAGGTCTGGGAGCCCTCGGCCCAGCCCAACCCAGCGCTGCCCTCCGAGCCCCAGCCGGCAGCCACTGGGCTCAGGACCCGCAGCCTTTCAGCCGCGGGGGGAGGAGGAGCTCCAAGACCTCATCACTCTGCCCGCCCCCACCACCACCAGGGCCCCACAGAACAAGAGGGTGTTCCTGGCCACCTTTGCCGCCGTGCTGGGCAATTTCAGCTTCGGGTATGCCCTGGTCTACACGTCCCCTGTCATCCCAGCCCTGGAGCACTCCTTGGACCCGGACCTGAGTCTGACCAAAAGCCAGGCATCCTGGTTTGGGGTAAGGGCCCTCCTCTGAGCTGGAGACGGGCAGAGCAGGGTGAGCGGGGACCCACGAAGCTAGGGCCCCCCTGTAGGGCCCTGGTCTTCCCCCTCCCTGATCCTCACCAGGTTGTAGGAGTGGCAGTGGGTGAGTGAGGTCAGATGATTGCTCTGAAATATAAGGAGGAAGTGATTGCTAAGAAGCTGTGGGAAGGAGACTGTGGAGAGGTGGTCCTCCGGGTCTCCCTCCTGCCCCAGGCCCCCCCACAGACCCCCACAGCCGGACTGCCACAACAGAGAGGGCACCTCCCTGGATGATGGGGGGCAGGGGCCTCAGATGCCAATGGGAAGAGGCACTGGCTGGGGCAAGGAGGGCCCCCGGATTGAGTGTGGGCACGTGGGAGGGAAGAGCGGGGGCCCTGAGAGTCCCAGGATGCTAGAATTACCATCTCAGTAGCCTCCAATTTACAATTACAACAGAGCAGCTAAGATGATACCCAGTGTGTACTGAGCACTCAGTATGTGCCAGGGGAGTGCTGCTGGGCACTGTACATGAGAGCTAGTTGACTCCAGGGCCAACCCTATGAGGTGGGTACTCCTGCTGTTCCCATAAAACAGCTAAAGAAACTGAGGCTCGGATAGGCTAAGCAATGTGCCCAAGTCACTGACTGGATCCTACTCACTACACTCTACAGGGAATCCAAGAACCCCCAAATCTAAAAATGCCAGGGACTTCAGGTCACAGAATTCTCCTGTCTGCCGTAATAGTATTAGACATTTAAACGTTCGGCTAAGCTGAACCACTATGGAGAGGTGGCCCCACATTACTCCCCAGAGCAGGACTCCCCATGGTGGCATCTCTAACAAAGGGTTGTGCACATGATGCTTGCACACCTCTGGAGACAGGAGGCTCACTACCAGTCAGGGCCTGGATCCTGCAGGCAGGGATCTCACGATCAGCCTAGAAAAGTGGCTGCCCCTAGGCTCTGATGGGGGGTAGGAGTGTTGGGTGCCCACACATGTCTGCCCTCCACCCTTTTTCTGCAGTCCATATTTACCTTGGGTGCAGCAGCTGGGGGCCTTAGTGCTATGGTTCTCAACGACCTCCTGGGCCGGAAGCTCAGCATCATGTTCTCAGCTGTACCATCAGCAGCCGGCTACGCGCTCATGGCAGGTGCCCACGGCTTCTGGATGCTGCTGCTGGGGAGGACGCTGACAGGCTTCGCTGGGGGTCTCACAGCTGCCTGCATCCCGGTAAGGCCAGGACTGCCCACCCCTGTCCCCTCACTGCCTCAGCACTGTGCTAACAACCACGTGGCTGAAGTCTCCCGGCCCCCCTCCCAGCCCCCCGGTCAATGGAGATATGTTTGCCGGGGAACCTCAGCTCACCTGCAGCAGGGCAGCTAATCTGTCCCCACATCCCCAGCCGACCTCACTTTAGATTCCTTCAAGTTCCCACCCCATTTCCCGACAGTCAGGCACATTGCTCAACTGAAGAAAATCTGCGTTGAGCAATGGGGAAAGGGGAAGTCTCTCCCCTCCCTAGGATTCCTCCCACAGCTGCACCCACACCCTGTCAGGGGCCAGGGCAAGGCCAGCAGGGGGCTAGGGATGCCCGGGAGGAGCCGAGTCTGGGTGCCTATGGGCCTCCCGCCTCCCCACCTCATGCTGCCCGTTTCAAAGGCAAGCACTTCCGCCCACTTGACGGTTAGGGAAATGGACAGAGTCACAATCAGGACAAGAGCCCCATCAGAAGACCCCACTTGTCACTTCCCAAGGTTCACCGGGGCCACCTCTCCCATCTTAGCCAGGCCCAAGAGCCTACATCTCACCAAAGGCCCTGGGTGGGCCGATGTGTCTTGCAGGTGTACGTGTCTGAGATTGCTACCCCGAGTGTTCGTGGGGCCCTGGGGGCCACGCCCCAGCTCATGGCAGTGTTCGGATCTCTGTCCCTCTACGCCCTTGGCAAGTATCATCCAAATGAGCACTGAGCACCTCCTGTGTGCAGGGGTGGGAGTGACAGGGTACCGCTGAGCAGACAGGGCTGGAAAGGCAGTGAACACGCCCCAAAACAAACCCCAGCTGGGGGACAAGATACCACTGTGCTATGTACATCTAGGCAATACCCTGCCTCTCTCTGGCCATATGGGAAGTCCATATAGAAAAGAGATCAGAGCCCATCTGGTTGAGACGGGGTGGGGATTTGGGGTAGAAGCCTGGGGCCTTGCCTGCTCAGGCTACCTCTCTATCACCCTGCCATGGCCCTTGAGACCCTCCAGGGACCTCCTTCTATGTGCTGGGCCTGGTGCTAGGGGCCAAGCAATCCCTGGGGCCCCTCCTGGTGTAGATCACAGAGGCTTGGGGCAACCAGGGTAGGCTTCCTGTGGGAGGTGGCCCTGGGACTAGCCCTTGAGGACAGATGAGGTTGCTCAGAGGCCTCGACGGGAGGGGACTCTGTCCAGCCTGGACCCCAGCTCCTCACCCCATCCTCACCTCCAGGCCTCCTGCTGCCATGGCGCTGGCTGGCTGTGGCCGGGGAAGGGCCCGTGCTCATCATGATCCTGCTGCTCAGCTTCATGCCCAACTCCCCTCGCTTCCTGCTCTCACGGGGCAGGGACACAGAGGCGCTGCGGGCGCTGGCCTGGCTCCGTGGGGCTGACACCGACATCCGCTGGGAGTTCCAGCAGATCCAGGACAACGTCCGCAGACAGGTGTGGGAGGGTTGGGGTGCACAGCTCTGTGTGGCTGCGGCAGCCGCTAGGCCTATCTGAGCCTTGGTTGCTTTTCCCGGGGAATGGGGATAAGAGCAGCTCCCACCTCCAAGAACCGGGGGGAGGGGAGATATTGCCACACTTGACCCAGAGCACGTGCTCCGTGCTGCCAATGCCTGGGCACACAGAGACCCTTACAATCAAAAATCTTCCTTGACCCACCCGCTCATCCAAGAGCCTGGGGTTCAGGCGGGGGTCCCCCAGGCCTGTGCATGGCCTGGACTGCCTCCAGGCACAGGGTCCTTCCTGGGGGAAGAGAGGAGGGAGTCTCCTACCCAGCCCTATGCAACCCAGGGCAGGGTGAAGCCTGCTGGAGGGGCCGGCACAGCTCCCCCTCAGTGGCAGCTTCATGTTTCTAGAGCACCCACATGTCGTGGGCCGAGGCCCGGAACCCCCACATGTACCGACCCATCCTCATCGCCTTGCTGATGCGCTTCCTGCAGCAACTGATGGGCATCACGCCCATCCTTGTCTACCTGCAGCCCATCTTCGAAAGCACTGCCGTCCTTCTGGTGAGAGCCCGACCCCACACCACCCGGCATCTGGGAGGCCGTCCCTTACTGAGCACCTGCCCTGTGGCTCGTGTCAGGGGTGCGTGTGCCCTGTGGAGCCCGCCAGGGTCTCCTAGCTGGTTTTGTGCCATGTCCCTGTTCTCAGAATAATGTTTATAAGTAAACTTACATATTTTAAAATATCCGGGATTCCAAAGGAACCCGTTGTCTAGAAGTGCGGAGCCCTTCGGGGTCACGGACCCCAGGTTCAGAACATCTGCCGCTCACTGAGGGAAGTCCCTTACCTCCAAACCTCAGCTTCCGCCTCTGTAGACAGGAGATTAGAGGGTGTGCCTGCGCCGGCCGGTCCTAGACTCAGAGGGAGAAGAGATTGAAAGATTAGTGACAGTGCAGTCCCACAAGTCATTGTGGCGCTGGGTTCCATGCTGGCCCGGGGGGCCCTGTGGGCTAGGCTGGGTGACCAGAGGAAGCACCTGACACATGGTGCCTGCTCAGCAGCTCAACGCTCCAAAGGAGCTGTGGCCACAGCCTGGGACCGGAGCGTCCCGCGGCCCCTTGTTGGGGTACGGGTGGGACAGGAAGCAGCACGCTGGAGCCCCTCAGCCCTAGCGGCTTCCTCCCTGCAGCCCCCGAAGGACGATGCGGCCATCGTGGGGGCCGTGAGGCTCTTCTCCGTGCTGATCGCCGCCCTCACCATGGACCTGGCTGGCCGCAAGGTTCTGCTCTTCATCTCAGGTGAGCACTCGCCGCCTCCTCCTGCTGCTGACGATGGCACGCCGGCCCGCGCAGGGCGCGCTGTGGCTGGGAGCTCCCGGGTGGGGTGCGGGGTCGTCCCACCTGCCCTGTGGGTCCTGCCTCCCCAGCACCCAGCACAGGGCCTGGCATACACCCGCTGCGGCAGGAGGGCCTGTGGGGGCCACAGTGTGACCGAAGCTCCAACGCAGGCAGGCAGAGCTTGCTGCTCTGCAGGAAGCATCCGGTCACTGGCCGTGGCGGCCGCCTGGATGAGAACTGGCCCGCGTAGGGCGCAGGGTGCTGAGGGGCTATGCAGAGGAAGCACCGGCTCAGAGGGTCCTGGCCCCCCCTCCTGAGGGCCACCTGTCTGTCCACAGCCACCATTATGTTTGTGGCCAACCTGACGCTGGGGCTGTATGTCTACTTCGGTCCGAAGCCTCTGACTCCCAACAGCACCATGAGCACCATGGGCCTCGAGAGTGTGTCCTTGGAGGGCACAGAGCAGCCCCTGGCCACCCCCTCCAGCTACCTCACCCTCGTGCCCCTGGTGGCCACCATGCTCTTCATCACAGGTAGGTGTGCAGCGACTGCACCAGGATGAGGGCTCGGGAGGCTGATGGCCAGCCAGAGGGGGACTGGCTTGTGCTCAGGTGTGAGGGCCCTGCTAGGGCATGGGCGGGGCACCGTGGTCCTGGTGTGTCAGCGGGGTTGGCGACCCGGGGGTCTCGGTGGCTCCGTGCAGGCAGCAGAGGCCCCTCGTCCTCTCTGTTGGCAGGCTACGCCATGGGCTGGGGGCCCATCACCTGGCTCCTCATGTCGGAGATCCTGCCCCTGCAAGCCCGCGGTGTGGCCTCGGGGCTCTGCGTGCTCGTCAGCTGGCTCACTGCCTTTGCCCTCACCAAGTCCTTCCTGCTGGTGGTGGTGAGTAACTCAGGTGGGGCTTCTCGGTCAAGTCCTCGGAGTGTCCCACAGGTACTCCCGGGCCAGGACAAGTGAGCCCAGAGGGCCTTCTGTCCGGGTGGCAGTTGGGGTCTCCCGGCAGGGTCCCTGCTGGCCAGCCCACATAGGGCGCTATGTGCCCTTCTCCCCACTGCTGGCTCAGACCCCAACAGGCCCTGAAGCCAACCGGAATCTCGTTCCCAGCTCCCGGGAGGGACAGTGTGACTGGGGCAGCCAGGGCCAGGGCTGCCCCTGGTGTAGCCAGTGGGTCAGGGCAGGGCTTGGGAGCACACGTGGTGGGCACAGCCCCGGCAGAGGCGCAGATGAGCCTGGGGCAGGGCAGGAGGACGTCTGTGGTGGCTCCAGAAACACAGGAGCTTGCTCCCGCCAGGCTAGGGGGTGCAGGCCTCCTGCAGGTGGGAGAGAGGTGGCCGTCTGAGCCGAGGCTGAGGCCAGAGCTCCCGGCCAGGGCGGGCCATGCTAAAGCATTTGTGTCTCATGCGGGAGGCAGTGAGGAGCCCAGGGAGACCCCTGAGCGGGGGAGTAAGGGGAAGGCCCCTCAAGGCTGGCTAACACTAGAAGGGTCCCAGGAACCACCCCCCCTCGTGTGACCAGGCATCCCTTCCATACCCCCAGAACGCCTTCGGCCTCCACGTGCCTTTCTTCTTCTTCACTGCCATCTGCTTGGCCAGCCTGGTGTTCACTGGCTGCTGGGTGCCTGAGACCAAGGGCCGGTCGCTGGAGCAGATTGAGTCCTTCTTCCGCACTGGGAGGAGGTCCTTCCTGCACTAGGTGAGGGTCCCCGCCCGGGGTGCCAAACCACTGGGCGCAAGGCCTCTGCGCTGGCCACAAGCCTGCACGCTGAGCCCGAAGGCAGCAGCAATCTGCCATCTGACGGAACACAGGAGGACCAGACAGAAGCATGGCAGGCCCCCCACAGGGCACGTTCTGGCTCTGGGCAGGCAGCACCCCTCTCCATCCTAGGCCCCAGCTCAGGCAGCCTGCCGTGTTGCACACTCATCGGCCAAGACGCACCGGCAGAGGAGGCAGCCATGGGCCACAGGGGAGCACACGGCCCGGGGGCCAGGACAAGGCCCTGCTGGCTGACCTGGGGCCTGGTTCCTTACTTGGGTGCAGAGGATGCGCCCAGAGGGCTATAACGAGGAGAGAGCACAGGGCAGGAGACGGTGGATGGATCCACACAGGGACATCATCGTGCCATTTTGTTCTGATCCGCTTAGTCACCACGGAACAATTTGACTACAGGGAGGAAGACAAATCTGTACTTCTAAAAGTTTATGGGTACTATGGGGAACATTCTAGACTCCCACAGGCCAGGGCCCAAGACCCAGCACAGACACTTCCTCCTGCACCCACCCAACCTCTGGAAACGGGGCGCAAGTGTTCCTGTCTGCAAACCATGTTCACCCTATTTGTAAAAATAAATCAGGCTCTTGGCCTTGGACTGGCAGGATGGGGTATATTGCAGATGGGGGAGCCCACCCAGCAGCCAGGTTTGGCTAGACCCAAACTCTCAGCCAAGGTTGCCAGGGCCTGCTGCCCTAGGCAAGGCCCCCTCCGGCCACCCCCGACCTGTCCACAGTAAGGCAGAGGGAAGGGGCGAGGCAGCCAGTGGGGGAGAGCCTGGCCGCGGGTTGGCTCTGTCCCACAAACTCAGCCCTCCCCAGCTGTGTGACCTCGGCAAGCCACACTCCTCGTCTTAGATGCTGTGAGCAGGATTGGGACAGGGCCAGCCGCACAGAAGGTCCTCAATAAAATGGCAGTTACTCCCAGGGCCAGTGGTCCCAGCCTGCTTGCTTACGGCACCAGGGGTGGGGCTGGGGGTGTGGAGGGAACAGGCAGTATATGAGCGAGCATACAAACTCCCGCCAGGCTTTATTGCTCAAAATGCACACCGAACACTGAGAAGGTGAGGGCCCCGAGACAACAGAGTCCAGACCCATGGAGGCAGGAGTGGAACCTGGCGGCCCAGCCCCTTCTGCCAGCTGGACAGATGTTCCTTGCGAGGCGGCACCCCACACTGAGGGATGGGGTCACTGCTCCAGGATTGCTTAGCCCTACTCGCTGGGAACCTCGGGTCCATCCTGGCCGGTGACTGAGGGGCTGGAGGGCCCTCCCACCTCTGCGCCTGCCTCTAGAGCCCACCTGACCCCCACCCGACTTCCCAACAGGGTAGAGGTGCAGCCTTCCTGAACACAGAGCCAGCCCCCCTCCTCCTGAAGAAGGAAGCCCCCGCCATCAAGGCCCCTGCCGCAGGGGCAGGAGGGGTGGGCAGGAGTGACCCTTGCGTCCCACTTCCTGGGTAAGAATGAACCAAGAGGGGCGCTCCTCTTGGGAGGTAGACAGGTCTTACAGCACACGCAGAAGACACACAAACACACACACGGCAGACACAGAGACACACCCGCCCGCCTGGAGAGGTCTAGAGCCCACAGCCCTTTGAACCTAGCGCTTGTTTGAGAAAGGTGGTCCCAGAGGACCCCCGAAGGCACGTGTCCCACCAGGCCAGCCACGCTGCAGTGCCCTTGCCACCTGGGGGCCCAGCCTGGTCAGGCCCTCTGGAAGGCCGCCGGGGGCCACTGCTGACCAGGAGCCCTGGGATGTGTCCCCAGGACAGTAACTGCCCCTCCTGCTGTCCAACACTAACAAGCCCCTGAGAGGAGCGCTCCCTCTGGGAAGCAAGGATCTGGACACAGCCCAAGGTCCAACAAAGCAGGACTGGGGCTGAGCTCGGGGCCGTGAGCAGGTGCCGCCAGGGTCCTGGGAGAAGGAAGAGCAGAGCTAGGCCCCAGATGGAGCCTTTTCTACACCGCCCATTTCTGCCCAGTGCCGCCTGGGCTCCGTCAGGTCCCATCAGACAGGCCTAGCAGCTGGGGGCAAGTCCGGTGAGCGGAGCCGTCAGCGGGCTGAGGCGGACATACGCGGGGGACACAGGAACACTGGCATGGAAGGAGGCCGGGGGAGACGGTGCACAGCCCAGGCAGGGCCGCCTCCTCATGCCCCCCGCACAGGCTTTGTTCCCAGGTGGCCTGGGTACAGCTCATGGTGGCGGAGGCAGCTCTGGCCTCTGCCCAGCTCTCAAAGGCAAGAAGCTCCCCGAAGGCAGGGTCGGGGGCAGGCCAGCAGCAGTATCGGTGGGTCGAGCTTAGACCTACTAACTGGGCTTGGGCCACTGCTAACACGGCAGGACCACACCAGAGAGGTGGACAAACAGCCCCATGGGAGAGGAGAGCCTGCCCTCCCCACTCCCTTAGCACCAGGGCCTTGGGGGTTGAGGGGAGAACCTGGGGGCCCAGGCCAGGCCCATGAGAAGTATCCTGGAACAGCTTGTCCAAGCTTCCAGGGAGCTGGGGGAGGGAGCACTCCCCGGACGTCCAGCCGCTGCCAAGGCTGCTGTTCTGGGTACTCTAGAAGCATCCCGGGAGTGCTGTGGGCTCCCACGAGAGAACAGAGAGGCAGGGAGGGGCCCGGGCAGCGGCAGACCATGGGCAGCAGGGCACCACTCTGTCCCAGTGACAGGTGGACAGAGGGGGCCCAGGTGGCTCAGCCTACAGCATACTTTCCTGCCTGGAGAGCCAAGAGGAGGCTCCCTCTGCCCAATGCCCGGGCCCAGCATCTCTGGGGGAAGCTCCTCCCAAGCGTTCAGCAGATCCCCGGTGGGAGTCTGGAAATGCACACGACGGCCTGTTTCCGGCTGAGCCAGGCCAGCTGTGCGTGGGGCCAGGCTCTGCTCTGCCTCCAGCCCTGTGGCCTGGGTCACCCCTGGGGCTGCCCGCTGTCACTGCCAGTCTCCTTCCTGCTGGCCGAGGCCCAGGGCCGGGAGACACCAAGCTAGAGAAAGGAGAAGACAGAAGAGGACTCCAGGGATAGGGACGGGGGTAGAGGGGCTGATGGGAGCCAGGCAAAGGCTCCTCTTCCAGGCTGTCCTTCAGGGTCAATGCTCCAGGCCTCATCCCTGCAGGACGTGTCCACACAGAGGCACAGGAGCGAGCAGGAAGCTCACATTACAGCTCCCCCTCCAGGGTGTCCGTGAGCTTCTCCTCATCCCCCTGCTGCTTCTGCTGCTGGATCCTGGCATAGGAGATGGCATCGCCCCTGGGGAGAGAGCGAGTCAGCGTCACGGGGGGAAAGACCCCAGGCACACAGCCCTCCCAGCCACTATCAGATTCCTGGCCTGTGACCAAGGCACGACCTGCAGGGACACCCTACTGGGCTCTGGTTTCCCCAGACACCCTGCTGCTGGGATGGCAGACAGGTCCCCTCTAAGAGTGGCACGGCTGCCTGGGGTGCTGGGTGGAGAAGGACTCAGAGTTGCAGTCCGAGCTCTGAGGACAGAGGAAGAGGCTCTCCCAAGCCACAGACCTGCCAGCCCCACTATGGGCTGTGGCGAGGTACGACCAGGCCAGCAGAAGCCCACGAGCCCTCCTGCTCCTGTCCCCTAGAGCTGAACACCCCGAGGATGTTGACAGCCTCTGTGCCTCAGTGTCCGCAGAGGGGTAACGAGGCCCCTCCCAGACCCTCCTCCCTGAGACTTTCAGGAGGCAGGATGTCAAGATCCCCCCCGCGGGGGGCCAGGAGAGGCACACTCACTTCTTGCCCAGAGCAGAGAGTCCATACAACACCCCAGTAGCGAATGCGATGGCATTGCCCAGCAGCGTGGTCAGGGTCAGGCTGATGACGACGGGAATGATGGCCATCCTACGAGAGAGGCAGAGGTCAGGGGGTACTCCCGCCCTGCGGCGGCCTCGCCGCTTCCAGGCCCCCTCCCCAGACACCAGGTGCAGGAAGGGTCCCGAGAAATCAGTCCGGACACAGGTTCACAGCCAGGCTTCAGAAAGTCCTTAGACACACAGGCACTTGTCTGCGAAATTCTGTGTATTTTCGGGGAGAAGATGTAAAGCCTTCATCAGATCGTTGACAGGGTCTGTGGCACACAAAGGATGAAAAAGTACTGGGATAGTCTGCCCTCCCTGTCCATAAAACAGGCCGACCAGAAAATCGACCAGAAAATCGCATGTCAGTCCACCCCCTAGTGGCTTTGTGACTCAGCAAGTCCCTGAATTCCTCCCGTGTTAGTGTTAACGACACAGTACAATGCCCGGAACAACATCAGCACCAGATACATGGTAGCTCTTTGCACTGTAGTAAAACCGGCCACATCTCACCACCCAAGAACCCAAAGCTTCAACTGCACAAGGCATGGGGTTTCCTGCTTGCTAGGTTCCCGGCCGGAGCAGCCGCAGCTCCGTCTGGTCCCGACCTCTGTCTGGCGCCACCTGGCGGCAGGTGTCGGCTCTGGCTTGAGTAGCCATGGGGCTGACTCTAGATTCTGGCAGGGATTCCCAGACCAGGGTGGCGGCTAGGTTACCTACTCAGGAAGATACTGCGTCTGGAGGACCAGCACTCTGTCCTGTTGCTTCCCTGGGCCAGACTGTCTGCCCAGAGGCCTCCCCTGCCCACACGCACCCTGCACACAAAGAAGGTAAGACTGGACCACCAGTGGAATTCCACCTGACTCTATTCAGGCGGGACAAGTGATCTGAGGTTTTACTGTGGTCATAAAATTTCTAGGTAATAAAAGAATAACAGAAATCACCATGAGGGAAAATCTTCAGTCAAAACAAAAGCACACAGGCTGGAAAAATATTTGCATAAAATATAACAAAGCACTGAGAAATGTTCATTACAGGAAACGTAGAACTTACTAAGTAAAACATTAAGATGCCAAAAGGTAAAAAGTAAACTAGACCATTTCCAAAAAAGAAAATGCAGTTAGCAAAGCCGTCTGGAAAAACACCTCACCTCCGAAACAACGGACACAAGTGTAAAATGGTGCACACACTGGGAGGCTAGAGAGGTGACAGAAACTCGAAAGCAATGTAGTCATGTACTGAAGCCTTTTCAATGACTGTGATCTCTGACCTAGTAAGTGCACATCTGGAAACATATCCTAAGAAAAGCATCACAGAAAAAGCTTTGGCACATCGCGGGTTATCACGGTTTGATTTGATTTGCACCACAGTTAACAAATTAAGAAAAAGCATGACGTACACAGTGGAATAAATATTCCCATCATTAAAAGTAACGTCCTAAAGTCTTTGTAGTGATCCTGAAAATGTTTATATCACGATATGAAGTGAAAAAAAGGAGGATACAAATTCCTTTAGAATGGGTATGACCGTGTCAGAAATCGGTTTAAAAAGCTGCCTGCAGAGTAGCAGACCAAAACTTACCAAAGCGTTCCAAGTAGGGGGGCTTTAATATTTTCCAAATCATTCTTAATGAATGCATGTTACTGTTAGTATTTTTAAAATACATTTCTTAAAAAAAAAAAAGGTCAAGGCAAAGGACACGATGACAGGCAGCGCTCTGTGATCCTGTATTACTCTGTGGTGGAGACCAGCGGGAAGTGGCTCCAGAGCGGAAAGAATGCGTGTCTGGTGCGTCAAAACCACTGGCCTCCACCAAACGTCTCCGCTTTCATTTCAAAGATAACCTAAACCCTAGTAACTACTGCTGTTGCTGCCAGAAGCTGCTGAGGGCCTCCTAGGCACCAGCGCTGTTCCGAAGCTTCTGTGTATTAGACACATCCTGAAATTAGTTCAACCTCATGACTCAGGTGGACAGGGCTGCGTACGGAATCTGTTGTTAGAAGTGGGAAAATCAAAGGGAAGCATATAGAAAGGCGACCATTTCTGTTCTGCAACTCGCCCTCATGTCAGGGCACCTGGACGGGCCACACTCTTGAAAGGCTGCCCACAAACACATTCTATG